TACGATAAATTTAACACCATGTTCATTAATTTATCTCACAGAAATCCAAGTCGACGCCAAATCCTTTTTAGGGAAGTGTCTATTTTAACTACCAAAACGTGACCTGGAATGCAAAGTGAGCAATTTGAAATGTTAGCGATTGGTGTTGATTCATTAACATATTTACCATGCCTAATGCGAATATAAGGACGAAATCAAGTTATTGGTTGGAGTGAAGCATTTCAAATTGTTCAGATATATCTATTTTATTTTTGGAGCTGTCTATCACATGTTTATTACTACTCTACCTGCCCACTTTGTTAACGACATCGTTATGCAAATCATAATCGGTTTGCTTCACATCGTTAAAGTTGAGTGTTTATTAAGCTATCTATTAATTACAAACATTAGTTATTACCAGGCGTCTTTGAGTAACTGTTCATAAAGCTAAAAATAAATCTATTGGATTTCTATTGATCCTTCTATAAGCATTTGCTCATCCTATCGCTGATTTACTAACTCATTAGTAACTGTAAGTAGACTTAAGAAAGAATCATTTGAAAAAAAGGGATCATTGAAAAGTAATTTTTATATTACATCAATCTTTTGCTACCTTAAAACACTGAAATTTCCACAAAGTACCATAGTTTTGTGTTCATCTCACAATCGCATCTTTAAGCAATTCGTAAATTCATAGCCGATACTGCGTTTGCCAAAGTGACCAATTGTGTAAATCACGTTTAATCAATCTATTTTGAGGGTTTGTTTTAGCATGGTTTATATAACATTTCGTGAAAAAAATAATCTGCTTGATCAAATTACGCTATAAATCAATAGTTTTATATTTATTTTAATGACCCTATTTTTATATATATTTTATTTATTTATTTCAAATGGGAGGCGTTATGATGAGTATCATTAGCCCTTTGGTTGACTTCGGGCTTCACAGAAGGGAAGATGAACATCCAAGTGGCAAAATTTCGAGAGGGGGACAGAATAATGATTCACAGACGTAAAAGAGACAGACAGACACAAAGGTAGAAAAAAGGTGAGGTAAATACTGTGGAATTATTCGATTATGAAATGCAATGGGGCCATGGTAGTTTGAAGTCAGAAGTCAACTGCCAGTTAATAGACTTTTTGCCGTATAAGTATACGTTGCCCAGGATGCACCACGTGGAGGTAAGTCTATCGCACACCCCGCCTCTATAAAATAAATATCACGTTTCTACAAAACCGATAGAGAAGCAGTTCGGTCAATCAACATCACTATACAATCAATTAATGCCTTCATTATTTTTCCTAAAGGAACGCACAAACGAGGTGATGGCTTTACGAGAACGTGCCATCTTGGCAGAAGAAAGAGCTGAGGCTCAACAGCGCGAAATGGCGCGTCTCTATGAACGTCTTGTAGAGTCTGAGAAGGCAGCATCACGCATATCACGGTCTCTTTCCACGGAGAGGTTTGAAAAAGAGCGTGAACGCTATCCATCCGAAATGCATTCAGTTCCCGGGTCTTACCGTGCCTCAGCCTACTCGTAAGTCATTTAACTTTACCGCATTAATTCGCGCTACTTGTTCCAACTAAAGTAACATTTTCTTCTAAGTGTTAGCTCGGGAAGGTACACCACTTCACGACTGCGATCACCTCACCGTGAAAAAGAATTGGGCTGAGAGCAAAAAATGTACTTCTAAACTCGTATGCGTCACTTCGATATTCGTCTTCCACACATCTACTTACTACGCGATCTTACAACTAGCACTTAACAAAATAATTAATCTTCCTGTTTTCTCCTTTTTTCTAATGTAATCAGACGCGATTTGGTGTTAATGAGTCGCCTAGTTATGACTGATATTTAAAGGTCAATAGGAGTTTTTTTGCAAATTCAATCTCAAACAATGGTTGGCCATATGGATGCGTGTTCCAGCACTTGTTTATGAGTTTCGAATATAATTCAAATTGCCTAACTTGATTTCTATGGTACAATCACCGTTTTCGTTTGTTTGGACTATCGCAACTAGTAATTGTCCAGTTGTCCAAATTCAAATCCAAAAATCCCAGTAATACTTGTGTTCATGTATCTATATCTAAATCAACAATAGGTTTAATAGTAGGCAATACGGAATGAATTGTTCTGATTCTTCTTTGCTTTTTTGAGTGCATTGAGGGAGTAGATTGTCAGCTTAGAGCCATTCCACGATTCTAGAGACTACCTTCACCAACGTGGTTGCAGACGCTCTAGTGGCATGCATAGAGATGACAAGGTGATCGGGCTCCTAAAAACCGACCCCACCTTCATCAGCCCTCACAAAACCGAACATTCGAAGTAGAGGTAACTCACACAATGACATTGTACTGAGAATTGTAAATAGAATTATGTTCCTCAGATCGAAGATCCTGGTACTCTATCAAGTCATAATCAAGTAGTCAAATTAATCGCTATGATGGAGTTAAACACAACAGAAAGGAACCTAAGTATAGTCTTTGATTAGTTTACTACTCTTAGAGGTTGAAATGTAAATTAAATTAAAAATGGCTTTACTGCCTAATAATCCAACGAAGTAACTTGTGGAACATAATACCCCCCCCCCATCCTAAAGTCCTTGCCATCCTGCACTGCACTTTTAACCTCCCTGTTTTAAACAAAATCTGTGGAAACTAGTATTAATGAATGACCTGTCCCATTTAAAACATGTCTTCGATTTAGATTTGAGAAAAAAGGGTAAAGAGGATTTATTCATAAAAAAAATATTCAATAATCTTTCAAATACTGAAATTAAGAGCAAATCACTACATAAGTCAGATAATTGTAGTAGAAAATATAAGATTTGTGGATGAGTAATATTTGCACTTCACATATTTACTCATAGCCACACATCTTCAATATAGCGCTTGTCTTTTCGAAGCTGCAACAGGTAACTCTCGGCAGCTTTCTTAGGATCCTCTTCACCGGCAAAATGGAACTGCGCGAATACATCTCGCCATGCTTCAGCCACACCTCGTACCATTCCCTGAATATCACCACAGACCTAAAAATTGAATAACGTGGAATTGAGATTCTTGCCTGATAATTGGTTCAATACACGACCTACTTTTACATGAGGATGCAAATTAGTGTATAGAAAACAAATATATGATAAGGATAACCAGAGTCCAAATCATACATCACTATTCCATTGTTTGAACAC